GATGAACTTTATGTTGATGCAAGAAAGTGTCAACAAGAGAGCTCTTCATTGAGCTCTGCAGGCAGTAAAAAAGGATCTATCTTGTCGAACTCGAGCACTGAGAAAGCAGGGTGGGATTACCTATTTAAGGGAATGTACTTCTATGCTAAAGCACTTCACAGTGGGCACAAAAATCTCTTTCAAGCGCTTCCAAGGTTGTTAACATTATGGTTTGACTTTGGTACTATCTATAAAACAAGTGGATCGGTGGGAAATAAGGAATTAAAAAGTACTCATATGAAGGTGGTGATTATGCTCTCTTTCTCATAGCTGTTCACTATGTAATATTATTTCATTTATAATTTTTTTCTTTTCTTTTCGCAGATAATGAGTTTAATGAGAGGCTGCTTAAAGGATCTGCCAACGTATCAGTGGTTAACTGTGTTGCCTCAGTTGGTTTCTAGAATCTGTCACCAGAATGGGGATACAGTACTAATGGTTAAAAATATCATCACCTCCGTTCTACATCAATTTCCTCAGCAAGGGCTCTGGATTATGGCAGCTGTTTCAAAATCTACTGTTCCTGCTAGAAGGGAAGCAGCTGCAGAAATCATACAAGGTGCACGAAAAGGTTTTAACCAAAGTGACAGAGGCCACAATTTGTTCATTCAGTTTGCTAGTTTAACTGATCATTTCATTAAACTGTGCTTCCATGGAGGACAACCAAGATCCAAGGTTATCAATATAGCGACCGAATTCAGTGCCTTGAAAAGAATGATGCCGACGGATATCATCATGCCAATTCAACAATCTCTTACCATTACCCTACCAGCATTCGATATGAACAACAATGAACGACATTCTGCCAGTGTATTTTCTGATTCAGATCTACCAACTATTTCTGGTATAGCTGATGAAGCTGAGATACTTTCATCCCTTCAGCGCCCAAAGAAGGTATGCTTTTCCAATTTTCATGGATTGAAAGCGTAAACCTAATTCCGTATGATTCTCTGCACTGCTCTCTGCTTATATTCCTTTTATATGTCTCCCAGTATGCATTAACCATAGCATAAAATCATCTTATCCTCGAGAATCAATCCTACAATATTTGCCTTACCAATAGATTATAATTTGTACATTCAGATCATTCTGCTGGGAAATGATGGTATTGAGTATCCATTCCTCTGCAAGCCCAAGGATGATCTCAGGAAAGATGCTCGAATGATGGAATTTACTGCAATGATAAACCGCTTACTATCCAAATATCCCGAAAGCAGGCGAAGGAAGCTATATATCCGCACCTTTGCAGTAGCTCCTCTGACTGAAGACTGTGGTCTGGTGGAGTGGGTTCCACATACAAGTGGACTCCGCCATATTTTACAAGATATATACATTTCATGTGGAAGGTTTGATCGGCAGAAAACAAATCCTCAGATTAAAAGAATATATGATCAGTGTGCTGTTAAAAAGGAGCATGAAATGCTGAAGACGAAGATCCTCCCTATGTTCCCTCCTGTTTTCCATAAATGGTTCTTGACGACATTTTCTGAACCAGCTGCTTGGTTTAGGTCACGTGTAGCTTATGCTCACACCACCGCAGTATGGTCCATGGTTGGGCACATTGTTGGACTTGGTGATCGTCATGGAGAAAATATCCTCTTGGATTCTACTTCAGGTGATTGTGTTCATGTAGACTTCAGTTGCTTATTTGATAAGGGCTTACAACTAGAGAAGCCTGAGTTGGTGCCATTCAGATTGACCCAGGCAAGTAACTGCAAAATCGTTTCTGTGTGTTCTGTTGGTATTGTGTTTTCGTTTGTTATAATAATGAACTGTAATTTTCCAAACCGTAGAACATGATCGATGGTTTGGGCATCACTGGATATGAGGGTATCTTCATGAGGGTATGTGAAATCACTCTCACAGTGCTGAGGACTCATAGGGAGACATTAATGAGCATACTGGAGACATTCATCCATGATCCACTTGTGGAGTGGACAAAATCACACAAATCAAGCGGAGTAGAAGTTCAGAACCCACATGCTCAGGTTTGCATAATCATCTGATGATTCTCTTTAATGTTAGTTCATGTACCTTTGTTTCTTTCTAATTGCTGTAGACAACCATATGTTTTGACAATTACAGCGTGCCATAAGCAGCATTGAAGCTCGGTTGCAGGGTGTGGTTGTTGGTGTTCCACTACCAGTAGAAGGTCAAGCTCGCCGGTTGATTGCCGATGCAGTCTCACTTGAGAATCTTGGGAAGATGTACATCTGGTGGATGCCTTGGTTTTAATGAAAATCTCTGAACCCCGCTGTTTGTTGCATGCTACACCAGTTTGCATAGTGCCACTTATGTTAATTCAGTAAGTTGATATGCAGATATAACTATCCTATGAAACTTTTAATCATTTCAACAGTATACTGAACGTCTGAAAGTGAAATGTGTGCCTCCTAATCGTAGATTACAATAGAATTCAATTAATATTTTATGGGCCGCCTGTGAAAACATGAATGGCTACAAATGTATTTGAATGTAATTTATCTGACTCAAACTGCAATTGCAGTGACCCGAGGAAATCAGGAGTATATGATCCTAGGAGTATTTGAGTAGAAGCATCTCTCCAGTAAACTAAGAAAGGTAAGCATTCTCTTCTATGCCTTTTCTTCTATCTGCTTTTGTAGGGCATGTGATTTTTGTGGGAGGATATTGGAAAAATTCAATTTTTCTACTGATGTTACATTCACTAAGAATGCGGCTGGACAGTTAATTGATTCCACGTGTGATCGATCAATAGGATGCAATATTAGATGGATGTGAGCATTTTGAGACTATTATTTTTGTTAAATCTCTTCTAAGATGTTCTCTTAAGGTTGTATGACAAGTTAACAATTTTTTCTTCTTTAACAGTCTTGTGAGTAAATTAGATATACTCGTTCCTTTTTAACTTGATCCATTTATATGATATACTTTTAAATATCTTTACAAATTACACCAGCTTAATTGGCTACAATCATTAGATATGTTTTTGATAAAAATAATAGAAAAGACTACGGATTTTTTTTTTTTGGGTAACCAGACTACGGATATTAGTTTATTAAAGTCTCGTCTTTTCAGTTACATCTAGAGAGTTACTTCACTAGGATGCTATCTTTTCTCCGACCAATTGATTTTTTTGCCCTTTGGTTTTCTTTGAAATTATTTCTGTGCCTGCAGAGCCAAGCGTCAGGTAACATAGTGAGGAGTGTTCAGAGTGGGATTTCAAGCTCACTTGAAAGGTGAAAGAGAATAGGTATAGGCTTTCTGTTCACAATTGGCCTAAATAGTGCCACTGATATACATGATCTAGTCTTCAACTTTCGTTAAGTTTGATTTGATCTTACCACTTGCCAGTTTGCTCACATCCACTGGCTCATCTTTTAGCCTAACTCCTTATTCTGTATTTCACGTCTTTGGATATCCTGCCAAACTTGAGGCCATGTGACTGTCTGAAGAGTCATTACATTGTGAGACTCTTTACCTTTGTGCCAAATTTAATCCTTAGTTTGCTCTGACAGAGACATGAGTCAATGAATTCGAAAGATGCCTTTTGGGAATTGGTGATGAAAGAGATGATGTGTTTGAGATGGCCGCCAAATTCGTTGAAGTATGTTTAGGTTTTACATAACGGCTGAAAATTAATCAATCTGTCAGGATTCTTACACCGTCTAACTTTATTTATCTTCTGAAGATGGCAGTTGACCAAAACTTCTTCACTAAAGGGCGCATAACTCTTCCTGCCTCTACCTGACTTGCAGGTTACAATCTTATATAGTTATCGTACTTACACATTTCTTTCCCTCATATATCATGCTGAGTTATGTTACGTTACGGGTGATGCGTTATTTCGCTGTATGTTAACCAAATACTTTCTTTACTTGTAGGGAAACGAAAGTTCCGATTCTTCTTATTGATTCTTCAAGCTAACTTCGAGTTAGTGGTGTAAGATGAGTTGTTAATCATTCAACATCATGGACATTAAAAAAAGAACAAGAAAAAAATGTACATTAATTACATCGAACCATGAACCATCCATCGATCTTCTAAGCATCAGATAGAAATGATACCCATCGGAGAACAGAATCACTGTAGCTCTCGGTGAATAGTGACTACGGGTCAACGGGATCCAAGTCGGGTTGCGTATAGATAATCGGGTCAAGCTCAGCATTGGGCTGCGTTTTTTTTGTTTTATAAAGGAAGAGAAGAGTAATGGGCCGTATAAGCCACGCAATAATACAAGCTTGTATAAAGGTCATTATGCAAAAAACAGAGCTCAATGTTTCTCCTTGCTTGTTCTTGATATTACTTGTTTGTATATATAGAATCGGTAACAGAGATTGTGAGAGAAAGAGAGCTAGCGATTAATTCAAGCTAGTTAAACCCTTTGATTAGTTGTGTAGTTTGCGAGTCACTGTGATAAAGGCGAACTCATTCATAGGTGATGTTCTTGATTGAGAGTTTCCATCGATTAATGTTGAAAAACCATATGATTAAACGTTCATACTCACATTTATACAAATAATAAAATCGAAAATTCTGAGGTAAGTTGTTTATACAATGTCTTTCATAACCAATAGACAAAAATTGAAATTATTTTCATTAGATTATCAGTTTAATAATTAGTTATGTAGGAGTAAAACATGTTTGGGAAGGACGAAAAAAGTAATGTAAAAATTTATAGATACGGCCATGCTTGTATGACATGGGTACTTCAATAAACATACAAGAAATAAATACATATACCTTGAGCCTTTGAGGTGAGAGAATTTTCATATTGCCTTCATCCATAGTCCAAGGCTCCATGCTATGTGATTATTTCCTGTCTTTGACCCCTTCATTTTTATTATTTATAGCTAACATTAATTACTTTTCCATTTTTTTTTCTCTTCGGCTGGCGCCAAATAGCCGTAGACGTGTACATCTGACACCCAACTTTCAGGAAATTTTGTGCGAATTTTGTGTATAGATGCGATAATCTAGTATATCTAAAGGGAGACCAATTCTATGACATATGATTAACTCTCTGATATCATATGACATTAAGAGAATAAGAAAAACGTAGAAAAATACATGTTCAAGTTTAACAAACTCATCAAAAGATTTTGGGTTCATTTCTTCTAACCATGCTTCTGCTTGCTTCTAATGTGTATGTACCTCAAGACAAATAGAGCCATGAGAGCTCTTTCACCTTTGATGATTACACTGCTTTTTGTTTCTCCTTTTTATCTTTTTCTCCAGCTATAGCCATGATCTTCATTCTTGGGTCTTGTCTTCAAACTTCCTGTCACGGCTTGTGTAATTTGAACCCAAACACTCTTTGAACATAGTTTTGTGATGCCTTTGGTGGCTTCAGATGTCCATAAGTCATCAAGAACAGATGTGGAAATGTTGTCCCAAAGTAAGCTCCATCAATGTCTGCTTATCGTTTTAAGGAAAAAAATCCCAAAAAAGATAACACCTGCAAGATCTGTATAAACTAAAAAAAAAATCATTGCCTTTCTGAGAATCCAACTTCAGAGTTCAGAACTGCATTTATCAATATGTATCAGCAAGAAGTGAATATGTGGACAAAAAAGGATACTGCCTTGATACTTCGACCGTGGGTAATAAATGTCTTCACATTTAGGGCAATATATCTTCACCGTGCTAGATCGAGGTAAATCGGATTGACCAACCGGAAGACAAGGTTGGCCACAACAATAAACTCTTGGGCATCTTCCAAAGTCATAGCTTTTATACTTCTCTAACTGCAAATAAATGGAGTCAAGCAGTGCATCTTGTATATGATGTTTAAAATTAGAAAAAAAAACACGAGGTGAAAGATTTGATTACCATTGCAGCCAAACCTTTGCTTGTCAATATGTAACGAGCATGAATCAGTCCGTAAAGCATCTCAGCAGCTGACTCGATCAATTCATTCTGTTCCTCTGTAAACATCTCTCCTGTTACCGACCCAATCCATATCAAACATTCAAGAAACATAATCGTAAAAGCGAAGCCATATTGGTTTCACTTCTATCCCTAGATGCAGATTCTGTCCCTAGCTAGACCGCAAAACTACTGAATGACAGATATCGTATGAAAACTTACCATGAGAAGATTCAACATCCAAAATCAAATCGAGAGCATAGTCGTAGTAAGGGACTAGACTGCTAAGTCCACACAAGTTAAAGTCATCTTGAATATAATCATCATCAACTTCACAAAAGAACTCGTTCCCTCGTAGGTTACAGAACCAAGATATCCAGGAAGTGTCCTCTCCATCAGACCCACTAACATCTGATTCCTCACTGTCTGTATCTGATTCATCTATATTCCCAATCATAAAACCCACCAAACAAAACAATTCATCAGTCACATAAAAAAATAATCCAAAGCCTCACAAACAAAATTTGCTTGATTCAGCTCATGTAATCATTAATAATCTCTACAATATCAAAACTTGATTCCCAAATCAGGAAAGCTAGGTTAAAATCTCTCTAATCCAACAAAACATAAAAAAATTCCAAATGCAGAATCGAAGAAGCAAAAAAACGAAACTAACCGTCAGAAACATTGTTGTTCTTAGAAAGAGAAGCAGAACGCGAATCTCTATGCTTGTCATGCGACAGCTGCTGCTGCTTCCCCATCAAAACGGAGTTAGACGACGCCACCGAAACGGTTCCTTTGCCTTTACCATTAACAGAGCGAGACGTCGAAGGAGAAGGCCGTTCGAGAGCGTCGTTGATCCGTTTACGATCCACAACCTCAGGTCTCGAATTCACCGCTCCTCTTTCTCTATACATGGTTTCTAGAAATCTACCCTAAATAAAATCTCTATCTATTACAGCTATCGTACACCTTTCACCGGCGTCTGTGAAATCGCCGGTGAGGGGATTGAGAAATCGACGGCGAATATTAACCTTGAGCTCTTAGGGTTTTGCGTTTCGTTCGAATCTTTTTGGGTTCTCTCGCGTTTCGCAACTCTCTCTGTTTGGTACAGAGACAGAGAGAGAGAGATTATTATATTTTTAAAAAGTTTTAGTTTTTTTAAAATAAAAAAAAGAAGAAGAGAGGGGTAAAATGGGAAATAGAAGAGTTTGGTTCCCAGAGACGAGGGAGAGTGGAGCGGTGAATCGGTAGCCACTAGAGGAGAAAGTAGTGGGTGAGATCTGAGATGGGTCGAACCAATCACTAACCTCTGGTTCGACACGTGACAGTTTACAGCTACGACCCTGACCTGCCCGGTCCACATTTTATTTTATTTTAATGAGATACGGGCTGGGCTTATATTTCATTTAAAGCCCAATAAGACCTAAACATAAGTGAGACTACCGCCCGTCTTTGTATTTTTCACAACGGTCACTAGATCTAAAAGCTCTTTTTATTAGTACTGTAGAGATGTACTCTACTTCCGTGGCTCAATCGCATAAAAATCTCAATTTTTTTCTTTTTTCTTCTTCTTCTTTGGAGCGGCGATGTTGAGTTTTTTTCTTCGAACGTCATCTTCATCACCAGGTTTTGTTGTTGTTTTTTTGTCTTTCCTCTGAATTGTTTAAGGTTTTCTGGTGATTTTATGTTTATCGCATATTCAGAGCAAACTTTTAATTGTTTAATTTTGTGTTTTCTTAGATTTTGAAATCTCCCTATTGCAGATTCAGAAACATCGATTTTGACTTTTTATTTTATTTCCAGTCAAGCGAATCTAGAAACCTCTCTTTGATTTTAAGTTGATTCTGCAATTAAAAAACAAAACCCCTCTTTTTGATTTGTGTTTTCTGCAATCTCTTTAGGGTTTTACTTTTGTTATTGCGATTTATTTAATGTTCAAAACTTTTCGTTTCTGGTTTATCGTTTCTAAGAATTTTCAAATTTCGAAAATCCAAAAACTCTCTTTTTATCGTTTCAGGTTCTTCAAAGATTTTACCTTTGTCGTTCAATTTAGGGTTTCTCATCAAAAAACCCTCTTTTTAGATCCGTGATTTCTAATTTCGTTTACTTGTTTTTCCAAATATTTTTGTTGGGTTTCTGATAAAAGATCAAGTTTTTAAGATTTGTTTCCGTTTTTATGGATTAGAAGAAACCCTTTTATCAAATTTTCTTTTCAAAGCAACGAACAGACTCATGAGTTGTACTCTGTTCAAGATTTCATCGATTTTCATGAATAAAGTTTTTATGTTTTCTTCAAACCCAAAAGAAAGGGACGGCACATTATATGATTGTGTTCTGTCCGGTTTCTAACTTGGGAAAATGTTGCCTAAGATATGATTGAAACAGAGATAAACGTCCCTAAGTAATGCTTGTCAAACTATGTTCAAAGCTTGGATAATTGAATCTCTGCGATTATCTTATATTCATTGCTGGCTGGGCAGCATGTTATTAACTTCAAGTTTCTGCTTAGATTTGCCTTCAATAAGGCTTTTCTAATGATGTCCTCAAAAGGATATATTCAATATTCTGCTTGAGTTTTATAACTCTCAATGATCTGCTGTATATTGATGGGGATACATGTTCTTCAGTAACTTCAAGATTCTGCTCAGATTTGCCTTCAATAAGGCTTTTCTAGTGATGTCCTGACAAGGATTATTCAATGATCTGCTTGAGTTTAAAACTCTCAATGATCTGCTGCATATTGATGGGGATACAAGTACTTCAGTAACTTCAAGATTCTGCTCAGATTTGCCTTCAGTAAGGCTTTTCTAGTGATGTTCTGACTAGGATTATTCAATGATCTGTTGGAGGTTTACAAACTCTCAATGATCTGCTGATATTGATGGGGGTAAATGTTCTTCAATAACTTCAAGATTCTGCTCAGATTTGCCTTCAATAAGGCTTTTCTAGTGATGCCCTGATTGGGATTATTCAGTGATCTGCTTGAGTTTTAACAACTCTCAATGATCTGCTGCATATTGATGGGGATACAAGTTCTTCATTAACTTCGAGATTCTGCTCAGATTTGCCTTCAATAAGGCTTTTCTAGTGATGTCCTGACTAGGATTATTCAATGATCTGCTGGAGGTTTAAAAACTCTCAATGATCTGCTGCATATTGATGGGGATACAAGTTCTTCAGTAACTGCAAGATTCTGCTCATATTTGCCTTCAATAAGGCTTTTCTAGTGATGTCCTGACTAGGATTATTCAATGATCTGCTGGAGTTTAAAATACTCTCAATGATCTGCTGTATATTGATGGGGATACATGTTCTTCAGTAACTTCAAGATTCTGCTCAGATTTGCCTTCAATAAGGCCTTTCTAGTGATGTCCTGACTAGGACTATTCAATGATCTGCTTGAGTTTAATAAACTCTCAATGATCTGCTGCATATTGATGGGGATACAAGTTCTTCAGTAACTTCAAGATTCTGCTCAGATTTGCCTTCAATAAGGCTTTTCTAGTGATGTCCTGACTAGGACTATTCAGTGATCTGCTTGAGTTTAAAAAACTGATCTGCTTGAGTTTAAAAACTCTCAGTGATCTGCTGTATATTGATGGAGATACATGTTCTTCAATAACTTCAAGATTCTGCCCAGATTTGCCTTCAATAAGGCTTTTCTAGTGATGTCCTGACTAGGATTATTCAATGATCTGCTTGAGTTTAAAAACTCTCAATGATCTGCTTGAGTTTAAAAATTCTCAATGATCTGCTTGAGTTTAAAAACTCTCAATGATCTGCTGTATATTGATGGGGGGGATACATGTTCTTTAATGCTAATGTTGTCCGACTTGGCTAATATCTGGGCCATCATGATATCTGCCTCTGAAGAGGCTTGTATCTAACATTAAGAAATTCAAGTGGGGACTTTAAGAATAATATAGTTAATACTCTATGCCTAGCTCTTGAAGCTCCTCTTGTTAGCGAAGGCACATTATTGTGCAACGTTTGATGGGTTTAAGGCTCGAGCAAAGCACTAAAGAGAAAGAGAGCGTAAATCTGATGTCTTAGTGAAGAGGTATTTATCTCATCTCCAACTAGATTGTAATTGTCTGTGTAGTTATTACCATACGTTACATAAAACCAGCTCAGTTTAAGAATTGGTATTGGTCTAATGGTAAGTTTTTTCTTATGTACATCTCTTACAAATGTTAGGTCATTAAAGAGTATATAAATCTGTGTGAGCCTCATTGTGTTCTAACTCATTGTGTTCTAACCACATCTTTTGGTGACTCATTCTTAATAGGGATACTGCAGAAAATCTAGTTTGCAACTTATCTCTTTCCCGCTTTTGATCAGGTGAATGTGCCATCCCTCTTTCAAACCTATTTATAATCTTCTCCAATGTTTTCCTTGATGGGGTTTGTGCATCTTCAATAACTCCATCTTCTGATCAACTATGACTTATTATTAGCCTACCTTTTCAGCTTCAGAAGAGAACTAGACTGTATACAGTGATCTGCTCAAGTTCAAAAAAATTTCACTCTTTCTCCAATCAGTTTCTCATGTTACGTGTTATTGGTTGTGTCTATTTATATTGTTGTAGCGATAGGATGTGTAGAAGACTGTGATTCTTTTATGGCATTTTGGTGACTTATAGTGCACAACAAGATTAATGGATCTGAGTAAGTATGTATTTGAATCACATATTTACTTGTTTATAGGTGAAACAGTTTTGTTTAATAAAAATTTCGTTTCTATGTCCCCATTTCAGCAATTTTTGTCTCCATATATGAAAGCTCTTGTTTTCAGGTACACCCTCTTTAAGTTTCTATTGCTTCTCGATTTTCTATGAAATTAGTTGTTGGCTTCATTTAACTTGTGTAGTTGTAGCATGAGTTAGTCTAAGGTTTGAGACAGAGACCAAATGATTGTTCTTTGTAAATTGTAATGTTTTGATATGTAATTCATAGATACTTCATGAAGTTCATATATTACAGTGGTCGTCAGGAACTATACATCTCATGATATTTTCAACATCATATATGCTTCTTTCTGCTTTGCTATCAAATTCGTTATTGTTCATATTTATTAGTGTTTATGTTTATATTTATATTGTAAGAGTTAAGATAAAATACACGTAGGGGTAGTTACCGAAATTTGTAAAATTTGTATGATTTTTTTCTTTTTTTTTTGTGTGGATCTGTTACTTTATCTGCAGGAAACAAAGGGAAAATTTCATGAATTTTGGGAAGATGTTGGATGTATGGAACATTCAGCCTCTTAATTTGCAAGCAGGTATGTACTGGTATACATGCCATGACTCGTGATGATAAATCTGATATGTTTCTCAATTCATGACATCTTCTGTGGCCATCTGTGATCTTATCTCAAGTACATGTTTTTTTTTTCCTCCGCTTTCAGTAATATCATAGTGTTTTGCTTGTGTTTTGATTGATCATAATGTTGTTACTTGCGTTTTTTTAACTGTTGTAGTAGTAGCATTACTTGTGGTTGCTTGCATTTTGATTTGTACAAGGTTTTTGCTTGCGTTTTGAGTAATCATAGTGTATCATACATAATGGATGTTTTTTGCAGAAATGTTCATCTTTAGAAGAGACAAGTTTGGTTCCTTTCTAAGGTTTATCTTAGACATTTGTGTTTTTTGTTCAGTTGATTGTTTTCTTTTGGATTGTAGACAAACTCAATTAAGCTAACACATAAACACATGTATGTACTGGTAGTCTGATAATTTTCGTTAAGCTTTATATATGCCATGACTCGTGATCATAAATCTGATATGTTTCTCATGTTTCTCTAATCATGGCATCTTCTGTGGCAATGTGTGTTGCTTGCGTTTTGAATGATCATAGTGTATCATAGTGTTGTTACTTGCGTTTTAATTGTTGTAGTATTAGAATTAGTTGTGTTTGCTTGCGTTTTGATTGATCATAGGGTTGTTGCTTGTGTTTTGATTAATCATAGCATAGTGTATCATACATTATCCAGAAAGTTTCATCTTTAGAAAAGATAAGGTTGGTTTCTTTCTAAGGTTTTTCTCAGACATTTGTGTGTTAATTTTTTTCAGTTGATTGTTTGCTTTTGGATTATAATAAATCTCACTTAAGCTAACACATGTATTATTTGGATGTATGTTAATTCAGTCTTTTTGCAAGCATGTATGTATTGGTATCTTAATCATTTTATTGTTAAGTTTTATATAAGCAATG